AGCCCCGGCACGGCCGAGGGGGAGCCGTCCCCACCCTGCGTCCCAGGGCAATCCCAAACCAGGGACGAGGGTGTCCCCAGCCCCTGTGCCACCCCCATCGCACGGTCAAGGGCATCCTGTGCCGCTGCGCATCCCCAGCCCTCGTGCTGTCCGTCCTGAGCTCCCATGCCATAGCCCTGGCACAGTCAAGGGCACCGCGTGCCGCTCCGTCCCCACGTCCCCATGCCATGGCATGCCGTTGCTAAGGCCATCCCAAGCCCCTGTGCCATCCCTGTCACACAGTCAATGCACACCGTGCTGTGGCACGGCAGAGGATCTGATGGTCCCACCAGGCTGTCCCCATCAGGCAGCCAGGGGCACCCCATGCTGTCACGTGGCTGAGGCCGCCCCAGGCCCTTGTGCCATCCCTGTCAAACAGCTAATGCCACCCTCAGCCCTTGTGCTGTCCCACCACTAAGGCCACCCCAAGCCCCTGTCTTGTCCCCATCCCACTTCTGAGGGTGTCCAGTGCCAAGACCCCATCCTCAGGCATGCGAGGAAGGAGGGTGGCTGGCCGGTCCCCTGCAACTGGCTCTTGGTGATGTGCCACTGGCCCAGGAGCCACCACTGGGGCTGGGACACTGAAGGAGAGTCGCTTCCTCCAGGTGTGACCTGGCTCACGGGGACACCTCTGCTCGGGTGGCACCCTGTGATCTCCCTTGGGGAAGTCCTGGAGCTGCTAAAGTGGAAGCGTGCCAGGGTGGCGAGGTGTCCCGGGGCGTTTCTCTGGGCGGATTGAGGGTGATGTTATTCTGCAAATGACTGGCTGTTTTGTGGCACTGAAGGCGCAGCCAGCTAGCACTGTCACCCGTCACGCTGTCCTACTTCCAGTGGCCTGGAAGTTGTTATTGCATCAGCTTTAATCCCGGTTCGAACACAGTCCTGACAGCTAGGGCATGTCACTTTTTATGTTGCTGATTCTGCAGATGACTTGAGTTAATTTTGTTGTTGCTCGATTGTTTGGGGTGGTGGCTTTTCCCCAAGGCTGTATCGTCCTGGTTTAAGATTGCCGGGGTAGCAAGCACTCTGATGTTGAACCGTGCTTGATATTTAGTGTACTTTATATTTATTGCATTAGTCTGTAGGGCAGGAGAACAGCTCAGTTTCCATTTCACCTTCCTGAGCCGTCTGGAGGTGAAACGTCCAAAGTACATGGCTACTTTCAGTGTTGTCTCCGTACTGCGCCAGGCTCGCTCACACGTGTTTGTGCCTCTCCCTGATCAGCGGGGACCGGCCGTGGGAGCCTGTTCCCAGCCCCACAGTGAGGACCGAGGATGTTCGATTTGTTGCCTTCAAAGGGCCACCCCAAGCCCTTCTCCAGCTCCCCATCAGTGGGCACCAATTGTGGTTTTTGGAGAGCTGCTCAGTGGCCAAGGGGGCTCGAGCGCGTCAGAGCAACCAAGCGCCAATCCTTCTGATTTACACTTGGACCCTGCATTTTATTTTATCTGGGTAGTCCTCCTGAATGTTTCCAAACACCCAGGACTGTGCAAGGCTGCTCTCAGGCCAGGGGGCGATGTTGTTAAAGGGACTTCCCTGGAGCACAGCATAAGCCCCCGAGGGCCCCGGCTTCATAACTCGGAGGGGTCCTCCAGCCCCACGCCACCCTTCAAGGAGGCTGGACCAAGACCTTTGCAGCTGGTCAGGGTGAGTCTTTTGGGAAAGACCCTGAAATCCAAGGTTGCATCTGCTGTGGTTAAATGTGCCCTCTTCCTCCTCCTCCTCCTCTTCCCCCAAATGGGTCTCCATCATGGTTCCCAGCTCCTGCATTTGTCCAAGGAGGCAGCGTCCCCTCCGCCGAGTGCCCGGCTCCTTGCCCTGTGGCACGGCCGGGCTCTGTGCGGAGGTCGGCTGACAGCAGCGGCGAAGAGCTCTCCCAAGCCTTGTCCCGAGCCTTTCCCGAGCATCAGCGCTTTTCTTTGTTGCGTGTTATAAGGGCGCCTGTGTGCACTGCCAGCGCTGACATTTAAAAGCAGAATTTGAGAGTACAGTAAAACGCGTGTGGTCGTTGGCTGGATCCCCCTTTCTCCGGACAGTTGGTTAAGTTAGTGCTCCTGTTGTTTTCTTTTCACTTCTCTCTATTTTTCAGATATAATTAAAAAATCCTGATTGCGGTGCTGTTTGCTTCTCCCACCAGCAGTCCGGGTGGTAACTCAGTTAGTGCTGCTCTGCCTGGGGTCCCTCGGTATTTTATGTGAATTTTGGAGCTTAATGGTGCTGGTGCTGGTGCTGTGGCTGAACATGGTCGGTCCCTGGCCATTTCACTGCAATCTACGGCAGCGCTATCTGGACAGCAAGCAAAGGAGTGTTGAATACCGTCTTTATGGGAATTACCGGGGAAAGACAGTGGTTTCCTTTAAGTAGCTTGTGATTAATCTGATTTAAAGCAAGGAAATCTGCAAGATGCCCCTGTTTGCAGCTATTGCATGAGAGCAGCGTGTGTGACAGCCAGATACATGATCCTGGCATCTGAAATAACGCCTGTGCCAGCTCGCTCGGGACTGATAAAATCTGAGCGTCAGCGAGCAGATGGCTAAAAATGACACGTGGAAAGGACTAAAATTCCCTTCATCTCAGCCGTCACCTGTCCCTGTGGCTAAACACGCAGCTGGCCTCACAGCTGAGTATGCGCGGTGCTGCGCGTGGCTGTGCCGGGAGGTGGTCGGGGTGTGCCGGGGCGCGGCAGTGCTTTGGCTGGGTGCTGCCTCCATCGCCTCCCTTTTGCCACGGCACGAGTCTGGGGCGAAGGGTCCGGTGCTGCAGGTTGGTACCCACAAGGAGAGTGAGCTGAGTGGGCGGGAGGTGACGGTGTCGGTGACCGAGAGGAGGGACGTGGTGATGCTCATTCGGAGATGCTTTGTGTCCGGCAGCCGGGTAGCGCCCACAGAGGTGGAACAAACTCAGCGCTGGGTTTCCCCGCTTTGCCCTTGGGAAGCTGAGAAAGAGGCCAGCTTTGCTGTGGAGCTGGGATGCTGCGGGAACTCGTGAAGCTCCTCTGGAAGGCTGCTGGGTTCGGGAGCCTCCAACCCGCCCCATACAGCGCCCTGCGCCCCGGAGACACGAGCTCTGGGGTGGGGAGCGCTGGCACAGCGCTGGAATAGTCCGTAGTGGCGTTGGCTGACGGATCTGGTTATGGCAGGATGCTGCAGCTGCGAGCTGTGCTGTAAATGAAATCCCCAGCCCTCTGTTCAGCTGGAATTACAGTTTCTGTCGTGAAAAGATCCTGGAGTCACATGGGCTCTTCTGCTCGCCCTGCCACACCGCCTTCACTAGTACCTTGGGAAATGGGAAGGGAGGCTGCTGGAAGCAGCGGGGTCCCTGCCTCGCAGGGCAGTAAGCACAGAAATGCAGCAGTGTCGGTGCGTGCACCAAAGGGCTGAGATGGACAAGGGGCCCTGGCATGTCCAGAGTCCCCGGGGCGTCAGCCGCATCATCCCTGTGCACCCGGCTGGGGGCTGGATTGCCATGGGCATCGTGCTGGGGGCTCCTGCTGTGGTTTGGGTAAAGGCAGGGCTTGTTGTTGCTGCTCCGTCCCTGCTTTCAGCTCGTGCTGCTGCTGGCAAATACATGATACTGCAAAAGTGGCATCTGTCTGTCCTGGAGGAACTCCTCCATGGTGGGGCAGTGCTGCAGGCAGGACTCTATCCTGCTGTCCTGAGCCACTCTTGGACCCTGCTGGTTCCTCATCTCTTTCTTGGAAAAACCCCTAAAACCCCAGCAAAAGGAGAACGGAAAATAGTGAGCAAAGTCCAGAGTTTATCCTGGTGCATCTCCTTCTGTCTAGGGTAGGTTGTGGCGTGCAAGAGGTGAAGGAGCGGTGATCCCGCGGCGCCCAGGAAGGTGAAGTGTTGCATTGTCTGTGCATTCATTTCCCCTCCTGTAGCACCAGGAGGGATCTTGAAGCCGGTGCCAAAGCAGGGAGGTGCGTGGGTGGGAGCTGTCCCTCCCCGAGAGCCCATCTACCACCTCTGTGTCCTCTTTTATTTTTTTTTAATTTTTACTTTATTGTTTTTTCCCCACTGTTGGAAAGTGCTTGCTTGGCTCTAAAGATGCTGAAACTTCCTCGTCTGGCCAGGGAAGGCCAGGCAGAGTTGCTGTGTTTAATTTTAACTGCTTAGGCGAGGGCAAAACTGCAGCGTGCATGTGTGTGTGCCTGCTGGGGACCTTTGAACTGTCTCCATCTGCTCTGGGGCCCGGTGGCGTTTTGGGAGGTGGCATTTCTCCACAACCCCCCCTGACGGCAGCGTGACAACAACCCCTGCGTGGCATGGGGCTGCCTCCCCGGAGAGCGGTGCTGCCCGAGCCGAGGACTGAAGGGTTAATGCTGGGGCAGGTTGGTACCATTAAAGAAAATCATAAATAAATGCAAAAGTTCACGAGGTTAAGTGTGTGCCTTTGAGTAGAACAGTTGCTGTTTAAAAGCAGGGCTTTTAAATGAGAGCAGTAAGTGCTGGTTGTTGGAGTAATTTCCTTGTGGAGGGCTTGTGAAGGAGCTGGAAGAGCAAAGGGGAAACCTGTGACCAGCTCTGCCTGCGGGCACCACCGGGATCTCTGCTCTGGGGCAGAGCTGGCAGCGGCCACAGCATCTGCTGGGTGGAGAAACGTCCCTCCCAGGAGCCAGCACCCTGCGAACGCCGAGCAGGATGGACGTGCGGTGGGATGGGGGTCCCTGTCCCTCTCACCGGGCAGGGGGACGGTAGGTGAGCGGGCCCCGTCTGTGCTTCTGGCAAGCTGTTGTGGCTGGGTCTGGCTTTCACCTGGCTTGTTCCCCTCTGCCATCAGCTCTCGCATCAGCTAAGCGTGGTTGCAGTCGGAATCTGGCTGCTGCCCAGCATCACGAACCTGCATCTCCTCCGAATCAGGTCCTCAAAATTGGTGTGAGCATTCCCAGGGCGGCTTCCTCCTCTCCCCCAGCACAGCTGGGGTACCTGCTCTTGTTGGCCCAGAGATGCCGATATCTCACCTGCAGAAGGTGGGTCTGGCTGCAGCATCCCTGCGCGTCCCTGTGTGCCGCCAGCTGAGCACGGTCCCACTGGCTGGGTATTTGTGGGGGGTATTTTCCCCCCAGTATTTGGGGCAGAGACGATACTGAGCTCCCCCAGCTCAGCAGCGTTCAGACGGTGGGCAGCGGCGCTGGGCTGCGTGGTCTGCCCCAGAACCCTGCGGAAGGGAAGGAAGGGGCGCAGTTCCCCTTTCGGTGCCAGCGGTGCCGTGGGCTGTGCCCACTGCAGGGGCAAGCGCTTCGGCTCGGAGGTGGCCTGCTGGCCCCCTTGGGCTCGGTGCTGGTTGTGGGGCGGTCGGCGGTCCCCGTGCAGGAGCAGCAGCAGCAGCAGGGCACGCAAGAAACCCTCATTAGGTGGCTGGCTACAGCCAGAAGTGCCCTGCGGGGCCTGAATACATTTGCATCGTAAGTCTATTGAAATCTGGTTTGGTTTTGTTTTTTTTTTCCCCCTGGAAAGACACTTCTGTGCAGCGGGGCTCTTTGTTTGGGTGGTTCCTCCTCCCCTCCGGCCCAGCGTGGCCAGCGATGCCGCCAGTTGGGATCCCAGTGGATGGTTCTGCTCTGTCTTCTGCTGGATGCTGTCCGCTGCGGCCAACCCTGCAGCAGCGAACGGAGGGAAACACTTTCCCCCATGCTGGCGGGGGATTAATGTTCCCTGGGGTTAGAGACGGGAGCCTGGTTTAGCCAAGGCAGCTCACTGAAGCGTGCATCCATCCCGGGAAAATGGCACCTGTGCCCCTGGTTCATGGCATTGCTGGGTTGGTCCTCCCGCTGAGGTCAGCCGGAGCTGCATCCCCAAGAGACACCTTCAAATTGACATGCCTTTCCCACCCCTGGTTACTTTATCAGTGTTTGCTAAGCAGGGTAATTTGCATATGTAGATCAGTAGCAGCAACATTTCTTGGCTGTAGTTGGGGAGCGGAGCCCGGCCGGTGCCAAGGCGAGGAGGACATCCTGCAGATCTGCCCCGAGATAAGTCCCGGCTGTAAAGTTCAGGGGCTGTTTGAAGATCGGGACCGGGGCTTTCTGCCATGGGCGGTTTTCGTTCCAGCGCTGTGAATCACCACCTCTTTCTTCTCCTTCGCAGGTCCTGCATAGGGAAGCAAACCTGGCCAAGCCGTCTCGGCAGTGCTGGCACCAGGGCCAGGTGGGAGAGGAGCAGCCTGGGGCTGCGGCGCTGGCAGATACAGCTGCGATCTCCTCCCTCTCGGAAGAGAGATGCAATGCAATAGCTGGGCCAGGCCTTCATCTGATATTAGAGGCTTTTTCCTGTGAGCAGCCACCACCTTTCTTTCCTTCTCTGTCTGGTATTTTGAGAGGCCAAGGGCGCTGCTGCTGCGGCTGGCTCTCTGCCCCCCTCCCCATGTTTGCTGGGGGGCGGCCTGCCCGGCTCTGGTGCCCTGCTTGGCTCCCCGAGGGCAGGAGGGGCCAAGCGGCTGCCCTGCGCTCCGGGCACCTCTCAGCCGTGCCCTGAGGCTGCGAGCGGAGCTTGGGGTTGGTGAAGCGCAGACCTCGGGGTGTCGGTCCTGCAGGAAGGTGATGCTGGGGGAAAAGTTTAATGCTGAGTTGGACTGAGGAGTGGCATGTTCAGGACACCCAGCGGGAAGGATCTGCTGCGGTCCTTGGTTGGGAGGGTGGAAACATTTTCATTTATTCCTCTTTTCCCCCTCTGCAACCTCTGGCAAGGGAATAGCTGCTGCTCTGCACCAGCGAGGGACAGCCCAGAGCTCCCGGAGAGCCCGGCAGAGTGGGCACTGGTGGAGTTCGGAAAGCTGGGCTCTTGACCGGCGTCTCCCACCGCAGCCCTGGGTTCTGCTGCCCTGGCTGTGTCACTGCCATGGCTCC